ACACGTACATCTTGCCGAGATTAAAACGTCTATGCTTTGATTCTCCACCTGCATTGAGTTCTGGCCAGTGTTCATGTGCTAGTGCGGAAGATCAAGGAATTTCACTGCTACATCTTCTAGATTAAAGTGTTTTTGTTTGTTTTTCTTTGAACTCAGCTCCAAATCACACAATTGTATCGCGTGATGATGTGGATAAAACAGTTGGCCAGAGCTGCCTCTTCATTTTTTTATCACACCCCTGGCAGAGGCTGGTTCTACCACCTCGATTAGGTGTGCTCGTGGCAGCCAGGTGCAAGCGATTGCCCCCTTGCACAAAGGGAAGTGTGAGTCGGCAGGGTATGGAATGATGCTCGGATGTGAATGAGACTTTGGGAATGCTACAGGCTGCGGAGCCGACGGCTCCCTTCCCTCTAGGTCCCCCCCAGGCCAGCAGCTTCAGTGGAGCTAAGGAGCAATGAGCTTTTGCTGAGGTGATACCTTGGGGATGTAGCCCTATTCCAATTGTAATAGTTTAATATTGTTGCTGTGTCCCCTCAGTTGCACTGCTACTTAGATAATGAGTTCTATAAAAACACTTGCAATATTTGAGGTTGAAAATTAAGCCAAAGGTGAAAAATTCTGTGAGATTAGCAAAGTACTACATCTGCAGATAACAAAACATACAGCAGCAATAGAAGGTTTCCTGAGACAAATTTTGCAGCAGAACACTGAAGTTCACATTGCTGCTTTGGTTTGTTGTTGATCACCCTGTTCTTAAAGGAATGACAGTAAGGAATTGCAAGTGCTTTTCAAATTTGACATTTGGTTAGAATCTGTACTATGCCAAAGTACAGATACCAAGCTTATTTGGAGGTTGGATGACTGGTCTCCAAATGATCTATAGTTCAGGTCTTCTACTGTCAGTACAAAAGGCAGAGAATAGTCAAAGCCAATCTAAGACAGTTGTTTTATAATGTTATAGTTATAAGCAGTTATAGACTGTTGTTTATAGTGTTAACTCTTTGATTATTCTTATGGTACTTTTAAATCTTTAAGCAATTAATGGGCATTTGACTCCAGATACCTAGGTACCTTGTCATTTTTCCATCTGTATCAGCCTGTTGGCAGTGATTTCTTTTACTTTTAAGAATGTGCTTGTTTCTGGTCCCTGAGCATATTCAAGAAAAGTATATATATTGCAGATAATGTATTTCACACTATTCACTTAAGAGCCTATTGGCTTTTCATATCAGAGAGTCAGAAGTGAGATTAAATGTAAAAGGTTGCCAGGATTAGATCAGAAAAGGTGTTACACTATAGAGGATTTTTGCCAGTTAGATGCAGGATCAGATAAAAACAAGGGCGCCCTGCAAATTACAAATGCAGCCAACAACAAACCCTTGCGGGCAATTGATTTAGGAGCACTCAGCTTGAAAAAGGAACTGGCGGAAGCCTGGATCAGGGACATCGCTAATGGGATGTAATGCTTTTCTAGCTAAGCAGTTCAAATCCATAACTGGTCTAGCACGACCAGCGTGGTTTTTGATGTAGATGAAGTAAGTGGAACCATAGGTAGCGGTGCCCTTGCCACACCTGCCTCCAGATGCTCTTGGTGGCAGTGGGAAGGAGGTTGTACGAGACCCTACTGTTGGTACCTTGACTGCTTGCATCCAGTTTGCAATCTGTGAAGCTCCTCTAGCAATTCCAGCACTATGCTTGTGTGGAAAAATAAGGGTGGAGAGTGGGCAATGAAGTCAAGAAGGAGCTGTGAACTCCATCATCATGTTGTAATAGTTGCTAAACTAGGGATTAATTCAGCTCAAGTACACTAAACCTTGAATCAATAAGCATTGAATGCACGCTTAAGTTCACCCCTTGCCAAACATGCCCTTAAAGTTAATCACATTCTTACAAGCTTTGAAGAAACAGTGCTCTTCTGCAGATATTTGAAATAGCGTTGGTACAGGAGCGTGAAGTTATTTTGTGTTGCTAAAGAAGCATGAAATTATTTAACTCTCCGTGACCTCTTCTCTTCTGCCCTTCCAAGCAGATTAGACACAGATTTCATGCTCTCTGTTAAGGAAATAAAAAACTCAAATGAACACTAGACACCTGGACCCATTTCTATAGAAAGCTAACTTCGAACCCTCCAGCTTGCAGAGGACTTGTTAATTATTACTTGCTACTAATTTATTAGTTAGACTCTTTAAAATTCAGAATAAGTGACACTCAAGACTTATTTATTCATGTTAGAATAAAATGTTAATAGCTGGGGTTTGCCTTTTGCTCACTTTCTGTTTAGAATCCTTTAATTAGTATTTGTTTTTTGTTATTTGCTGATGTCTTAAAAGTTAATAAGACAAAATCCAGTTAAAAAAGACCTGAAAAGTAGTAATAGGTAGAAACATGGATGCTTTCCCTTCATGAGGAAAAAAAAAAGTTCCTACAGGAAATTTTGAAAAAGAAAAAGCTTCACTTTTTTATTGCATAGTGTTAGGTGATATTGAAAAATATCAGTGTTGCATGCAATGTTGGTACTGTTACTCTCACCCACAACACAGTATTTGTACAATTCCCACTTGTTCCCGGTTAGGGTCATCCAGTATTGGAATCATTTAAGTCTAAGAAAGCACATCAAAAAGCTCCAGTCATTTGTGTTTCTCTTTGGAATGCTTAGGAGCTGCCATCACAAAGAGAAGTATAATTTAAAAGTAATAAAAATGAACTTTATTGTAAGGGTGAGTGAAACAGTTCATTTTTATGTAAGTTTTGTTTCTTATAAGTAAGAAGGAAAAAAAATGACAAGTTTAAAAAGTAAATCTGATTTTGGAAGTAAGAATTAGTTTTCCATGACCTTAATTCAAAGGCACAATTCAGAGCCAGCATAAATATTTTGATCCAAGACTGTGTCCCTAAAAATGTACTTTTCAGGGGTTATTGCCTTCTGGAGAATTCCAGTTCCTGGACAGCAGCATACACGCCAACTCCTGCTCATAATTGCATTAGTAAAATAAAGGAAATAGAATTTCCTCAAGAGAGGTTTTAGAAAGAGATCAGATTAACTTCCTAAATGAAGACTGCTGAGTTACTGCAAGGATTTAAATAACAATAGGGATGTGGTAGCCAGAGAAACCACACAGATCCTCCAAAACTGGTGCCAGCAAAAGGTGCTAAAAGCCTCTTGCTGCAGAAGGAGGGAGCGAGGCTGGCGCGTGTGGCCGATGCCTGCGTGGGTAGCGGCAGTGCAGGTAGATACACAACGTGGCAGACAAAGGCAGGGCTAAGAGGCTTGTGAGGGCGATGAAGTTTGACAGAGAAGAATGAGAGGAAGACACACCTAATAATAGTGTGTGTTTAACCGTTTATCTCTCATTAAGGAAATAAGCAGCTCAGAAAATAGTCGTAGTTAACCTACAGCAATTACGGCGGTGCTGCACCTCTGAGACAGCACACAGTCAGCATTTCTGGCCCACGCTCAGCTACGGGGCTCGAATAGATGTTTGACATGGGCTTAAATCTACCGCAGAAGTGTCCTTCTTCTCTAGGAAGCTGATGGTGTGGGAGTACTTCGGAAGGACGGTCATTGAGGTTTTCATGTGCTTGGGTCCTAAAATAGCTCGGTGAATTTGGTTTGAACTGCTGGCCAAGCTGCTGAGCCTCCACAAAGCACGTGCTGCGCCACAGCCTGAGCACCCACCGGCAGGGAGTCCGGGAAGGGCAGCTACAAGGGGCTTCCATAAGAGATACAGGAAAAAACGCCTAGCCCAGAGGTTCATCAGTACTGAAGTCTGGAGAGCATGAACTTGTCTGCCGCACAGTGTAAGTCAGGCTGCAGTAACACTGCTCAATCTTTCCTGGCTTTCCCGGAAGACTATTTGCTCGCTTATTCTCACTTTCCCATGTAGAGCGGCCTATTACATTTCTTGCAGGATGCCATGGAGAGGGTTCGGTCACAGTTTGGGTTAGATTATCAGCAGAGAGCAGAGGGTACTGCAGGACCACTGAGCTGGGGCACCTGACCAGTACCCAAGCAGGGTGAAGCTTTGACTCTCTTGGTACCGTGTTATGCAGGAAAGGTACATTATGTAAGAAGGGAACCTGGGAGGACCTCTACTCCCATACCCCCTGTACAACCACCCTGGAAATCCTCCACTGCCTTTGCTAACGCTGCCCTACAGCACTGAAGAATGATCTTAGGTGTCTTTTTCTACACTTTGCTGCAGCCTTTTCCCTATACCTTAGGTGATAATTTCTTTTTATCTATTTGGATTTTTTGCATAGCATCTCTTCGGCTGCAGGGATTTGTGTCAAGAGAAGACCTGAGTGAAGTAATTGGTCTGCTCTGCACGGGCATCGCTTCGTGCTGCTGTGAAGGGCCTCTGCACATGCCTGAGATGCCAGGAAAAGGGCAATGATTCCTTGCTGCTTCTGTCTGCCCAAGTGTGTCCCGTTAAATCACAGGCCTTGCAGCAAGTCTGGGTCATACTCCGCAGCTAAGCAGTAAGTAACTAAAGCTGCAAGTGTCCTGCTAACAGAACGTCACTGCGCGTAATCCAGGCCCTGACTCCAATCGACAAGGACAGGTTGGCCTCTGAAATAATCTCTTTAAATAGCAGCAGCCACCTCTCCAAGTTGTTTCCCCTCCCCCAGCCCAAGTTGGAGAGCTGCAGCCCGTGAGGCGCCCGCGACGCCGCATCCCGGGCCGGCACCGCGCAGGGAGGCTGCCCGCGCGCCGGCCGCGCTTTGCCCCGCGATTGCCATGAATTTTGCAGCACAGTTGCTCTACTCCAGGGCGTTAAAGAACAGAACGCCCAGGGTCTGCTCCCGCAAGGATGAAGACTACGATCCTTTCTGGCAAAGGTTGGAGAATATTGCTGTCTGACGTAGAGCTAGAGCGCTCCTTCCTCCCCTGTAGGAGTCATGGTCAGTCCCCAGGGTCCACCCAGGGCCAGACCTACGGACTTCACCTCCCCAGGACCCCTCCTGCCTCCTTATGGTGTCCTAGTTGGAGCTTTGCTTCACCTCGTTGTTTATCTTGTCGCTGTGCTGTATAGGTAATGCTTTCTTTTTCCTTTCCTCACTTTCTAAAAACGGAAGTTGTTTGTAAATTTGCAATATTTCCCGAGGTCCTGGGGCTATGCCTGGAGTCATCTGCTGGAAGCAGAGGAGCTGTGAGTACTTTAAACCTGTGGAATTCAGCTCTTTACTCGTCCTGAGTACTGCGTTTGAAATAAGCCTAGACTGGCCAAAGGGCTGCCGAAAGTTTATCTTCGTCTTGTCTTGAGATAGCTTATTTTATTTTATACCTTGAATTACTGTGTTTGGGCATTGATTGTGCAGAGGAAAATTAGGAGCCTCCTGGTGCCCCTGCGTAGCACCAGCTGGGGCTGTGACAGCCCTGTGTGCACAGCTGCTCTCCTCACCTTTTCCACAGCTTTTTCTCCCTGGTTTTTATTATCTGGACATTGCTGGCAAGATCAGAAGCTAGTGTTGCCACATGTCACATAAACAGAGGGTCAAATCATTTGCTGCAAATAACTACCTATGTTTGCAATATTCAAGAGTATAAACCGTTTCAATGAGCTCAGTGCTGTTAATACACTCTCATAAAAGAGGCAGCCTGAGGGAAAGGGCTCCAGAAGGGAAGAAAAGATCCCAGTCATGCAGGAAAAACTGACCTGCCCAAAGCTGCTTGCAATGTCTATGATGAGCCTAGAAACCTGAACCAGCCACAAGACCATTCTCATCTCTGGTTTAGGTTATGTTATTTTTCTTTTATTATGGATAAATAAATGTGTTAATCACAAGAGAACATCTAAATTCAGCATAGATGTAATTTAAAGTGGAGAAAGGGTTCATTTTTGAAGAGTTTTATCTGCCAAACTGCGCAAAGCATTTTATGATGACCAGCTGTGCACGTTCTGTAAAAAGAGGTTGGAGGGATCTGCCTGTCCAAAGGACCTCGGGAAATGTTTATGCCGAGGTGACCTTTGGTGTTCATCTTGCTTTCAGATTATTTTTTGCATGTTATGTACTTAGCAGCTGCCAGCAGGTTGTCGCTGCCAGCAGTAAGCAGTGACATTTCGATAACGTGTATGGACGTGTGGCGCTGCATTGTGGCCGCAGACGCACACGGGCACGGCCTTGGACTCAGTCTGTGCTAAATGGGAGTCACTGGAATGGGTGAGATACCCGGGCTCCCTTCCCAGCCCTTCTGTGAGCTTCCTTCTTAGGCCAGTCATTTTAATCTGTCTGTGCCCCAGTTCCTCATCAGTAAAGCTGAGCTAATATTTACTGATTTTTGTCTTTCAATTTAGAGGAAGATATTGGTGATTCCTACGTGGCTTAGGAAAAATCACTTTTTAATAGGATTTGGGTAGCTAAGTGCCAGAAATTCATTTAAATTCCCATCTTTTGATTGCCAGTGTTGGGGTGATACTCTTTTGGGTGGGTGTTTCTAAGTGCTACGGTTATACAAAATAATAATTGAGAAATTAACATTCATATATAGTTTTATCTTTGATCTGTTTTAACTATTTTATCAAAGGGACAATTTTTTTTGTGATGTTACAGTCATGCAGGGGACACCTGGATGCTGCACAGATGCCTGAGAATTTCTGGCAGTACTGATGACTTTTCTTTGGTGCTTCTTGATGTCTGTATCTCAACAAGCCTTCATTTTTCTATCACTCCACTTTCATAAGGACCAACTTGTGCAAGGTGCTGAGGGACTTGTAACAGTTGCTGCTATGGCAGCATTTGGATGTGCTTGAGGCAAGAAAGTCAAGAGGTCTGGGAGAGCTCAGTGGGGATATTGCAAAGGTAGGAGAGTTTCCTGGGGTTTACACAGGAATTTACAGGAAAGCATTTGATATAGGGCCTGTGGGGTTAGGAGCTGTGGCAAAAAGGACTGGGGTAGGGTATCAGATGGGTGCAGCATGGTTTTGTGCCAAAACTTATTTATGCCCTGTTGTGGCTCTTGAATTTCTCTTGTCTCCTTCTGTGAAGGAGCACAACAGCACTGGAATGGACGTCTATAATTCCAACATCATTTCTGCCTCAAAATGCATGGTGTTGTCTCACTTTGCAAGAGAGGCAAAGGCTGCCCAATAAGCCAAATGCTGACTTTGGATATCTGCAAATCGAAAAGTCATAACGGCAGCACTGGGTCGGACCAAAGGACCACCTATTTCTGTGTACTCTTTGTAGTGATGGCCAGTAATGGGAGCTTAGAGCAAAATGTAGCATTAAGGCACTTAAGAAAGATGTTTACTCTGATAGACTCCTGTGGAGTCTGGAAATCAAGGGCTGAGGGGCTTCCTGAATGACAAATTGCTTCTTGAACAGTGAAGTTAATGTACCTTCATATATTTGCATAATCTTTTTAGGAACCTATTTATACTTTTGGCCTTCACAGTATCCTCTGGCAGAGTTTTGCAATCTAATGGGGACAAAAGAACTTCCTTTGTTTTAAAGTTTCAGTCTGCTAATTTCATATGATACCCCCTGAGCACTTGTACTGGAGGAAGCAGTGACTAGTCCTCATCTACTCACCATTAGACAGCTGCAATTTTGTACAGTTTTGCTATAGACAACAATTCTGTTGTCTCTCCAAATTTGTTTTTGTTATTATTTTATTAATGTATTGATTCATTGATATTTTTGTTTTATGAAACTTATTTTCTTCAGTGCTATATAACTTGATGTAAAATATGACTATATGCAAGAAAGCAGATTAGAAACAGAAAAAAAAATTGTTGCAAGTTGTTTTTTATCCTTGTCAGAGTGCTTTTCAGCACAGTCTTTGTCTTGGCTTTGAGATTTTAAACTATGTGAAGCTATCTGTTTAAATCTGTATTTTTTCTACTTCCTTAATTATCCATGATATGTCTCCATATGGGTCTTCTCTTTTATTTTTTGCAGTTATGCTGAGCAGCTGTTCTTGAAAAAGTAGGTTTACAAACTACATTTTCATGTTTGCTTTTACTAATCACTTTAAAGGTAAAATTGCATGATATATAGCCATGTAACAAAATTTGCCGGCTGGATATTTGTTTACAACTGGAAATATACACACTTTTCATGAAAACTTTTCTCTGAAACTTGTAAAAATGACAAGTGATTCATTTAAAAGGAGCAATGTTTTATACTGGTGAGGGTTTATATTTGTGTTGGTTCTGCATGTCTGTCCGTGGGCCATGATCACTAGAACAGGCACCATGTTTCGTTACTGTGCATGAGAAGTTCTCAGTGTTTTTGTTGCACCAGCCTTTAGGATCTGCATGTTTTGTTGCCTACTGTCACTGTTTCTGTAAAAGAAATTAATGCTGAGATCATCACTGCAGGATATATGAACTGTGTTAGCAGAGAGAGTTGTATCTAGGTTATTAGTTGCCCTCTTATGATGAACTATCAAACCTAAAACCTGTTTACTTTGGGAGTGTGAGAGCTCTCAGTGGGCCCATGATGCACCCAGATGGGTACAGTGGTAAAAAATGTCATTTACTAATGGAACTGAGAAAATATATCCATAGAAGGAGGATAAAGACACATCTGAAATAAGTAGGACATGCAATAGCATGATGATATTCCTTTGGGAATGAGGCTGCAGATCTTTCCAAAGCCAATATATCATGTTTTCCATACTAAATGCTGAGATGTTGATGTTTCAGATGGGCTTCACGTCTCAAGCTTGAAAATGTTGCACATTTTTACATCTGTTTGACATTTTGTTTTTATTTTTAATTATTATAAGGTGGTGTCTCCACTAGATACCTTAGCAGATATTCCCTGTTCATGGCAGCAACACTGTAGATCAGGAATTTTTTTTTTGTCTTTTCCTGGAATTTTAATAGTAGAAAATTTGGCCCAAGATTTCTATAACCATTAAAAAATTATGGACTAGACAAAGACTGAGAATCTGATTTACTTCCCTACTTACTTAAGCCAGAACAAGGAAATCCAAGAGTAGGGCCAAAAATCAGTATCCCATTTTGGCTTTTTGAGTTTTCTGATACAAAAATATTTGACAGCACTAGTGTAATGAGTTGTTACCCTGCATCTTGTACCATCTAACAGGACCCTGATTTATCAATGTACTTTTTGTGGTTGTTTCTGACTGTGGTTTTTATTGGCTTTCTGTAGCTATTTGCAGAAGAAGCAGGAAAATTGGGAGTTGATCTCAGACACCATTTAGTAAAAATAGTATCTGAGACACCATTTGGTAAAAATTTTGACCTAAGAAAATACAAATTTTTGTTCTGCCTATATATTCTTTTGACCCATTGTGAGTATAAGAAATGTCATTCATTGGTAATGCTTGCTACACAAGTTAGATACATGTTCAGAGATAAGATTCTGTTCTTTTTGGAGTAGCTATGGACTACTGAGATATAGGAAATGTTTTGGTTTTGCCAGAACTTTAATGCCTCAGAGAGAAGGCTCTTAGGTCAAGATAGCTGTCGTTTATGCACTAATCCTATTTAATTCCGAGACCATGGGCTGTGCTGTAACAAGCTCCTGGGGAGCCAGTCTGATCTGATTCTCATTTGTTGCATTAAGCGAACTCATGTGCGAGAGATTTAACATTATAAGTTTAACATCCTTATGAAATGCCCTCGTTCCCACCCACCCTCTAACCTCAAAGGAGCAGAAAAGCAGAAGACTATAGAACAGAATAAAATAGTTAATTTGAAGACACAGTCTCTGCTCTTTGATGATAGCAGCTTTAAGATGTGCCCCTGGCAAGATATTTTAATTCACAGTGTCCCCATAAGTTACAAATGTGTAAATATCCGTATCTTTTTTTTTTTAGATGGGAAATTTTGGGGGGGAATTTTGGAGAGGCAAGACCTTGATACCAAAGATTTTTTTCTGCCTCTTGTAAAATAGACTTTTAAGGATAGACCTAATAGCTTGTGGCTAGTAATACAGTACTTGATTCAAATAATAAAACCTTTTATGCTGCCCATGTTGTTACTTGAAGCCGTCATGGGACAGCTGAAGCCTTCTAGGAAGCAGAGCTACTGGCGTAGCTTACCAGACCACAGGAAAGTGAATGCCACTCTCAGAAGGGAGACCACTGTCCCAAAAGCAGCCGTTTCCCAACATTTTAACATTTCACGTGGAAATGAACATAATGTACATTACAGTGGTGATTGCTACTGGAAAGCAAGGGCAGCAGTGTTTTATGAGCCCAGCTAATGAAAACCCCCATAGCTTAAATCCAGATTATTTTGTGACTATGACAGATGACAAGAAAGCTTAGGTTTCATGGTAGGGATGTTGAAATATCTGACATAATTTAATGTATATTTTTTTTTTAGAAAACAGTTTATTCCAAGTAGAGTTAACACTGAGCCCTTTGTGCAAAGAGGCTTGTAACATCTGTGTAGCCACAGCTGCAGACCTGGGGCGCTTTCAGCTCTTTCTCAAATCACTAGTCTTCTGCTTAATGGTTTTTTTCCTCCATAAGTCACACTGATTTCCAAGAATTCCTAGAAGTTTTGCTCTATTTGTTAGTAGGGCTGCAAAAATCTACACTATAGCCTTTATCCCATGCAAACTCCTGAAGCGTATCCTGTTTGTTTCACTGTGGACCGCAGAGAGGGACAGTCTAAAGTAGCTATGAAGCAATTATATTATTTTCAACAAAGTACTGTATTTATAACATGAGGTTTCTCTAAATATGTCCTTGGCGAACTGGTAGTAATACTGGCAATTTTTTATAGCAAAGTGGTATTTGAAGTTCCTCGAGGAAGAGGGATTGTCCGGCACTGCAGTCTGGTGTCATCTACAAGTATGAAATGTTACATGACAGATTAGGAGCTCCTGTTCTTCAGCTTCATAGCAGGATATAATAATTAGTCTGTATCACAGTCAGTTTCTTCCTGCCCCAAGGCAGTTGATGGCTGATGGTGTGCCTTCTAAGTATGGAAAGATTTCTTGTCTACATCGTAATCACACTTGCTACTGCTCTGAGTAACATTAGGGAATGGTCTTTAGCAGCTATATGCCTCTCTTGAAAAATACAGAATTGCACACAGCAAACAGTACCAGATGTTTCAGATTTTCTGCAGAACCCACTGAGAATGGGGACAGCCACTGACTGAGGCTGGCGTTTTGGAAGCTCTAGCTGCGCAGACAGCTGTGCCATTTCTTTTTGCTTGGTTATGACAATTTGTCCACATGCCAGGTTATGTCGCTTTTCTACCACTTGGCTGGTTACAGTAGTTTTCACACTGCCTACAATATCAGTAAAAGGACATTAGCATTTTAGTCTGCATAACTGAGACTTGCAAAAGAGCAGCTGAGCTGGGCATCCTTCTCAAATGCTAAATGTCAAGCATTTAATCATCCAGGCATTCCTAATGATTTTTCTTCACTTGTTTTTAGGGATGACAGTAAGATAAAGAAACAAGATGCCCCAGCCCACTGTGCTCTTCACTGTTGTAAGGATGGGCCGGTAAGAAATGGTCATATTGGGCAGCGGCCACCCTCCATCAACCCGGAGAGACTAAAAGATTTTGCTGAGGAAGACTACCTGAACGGGGACGTGAAGACCTGGGAGATGAAGATAGTGAGTCGTAACGAGGAGTTGCTTGGGGATGCCCATTCCCGAATCCCTCAGAAAAGCAGTAAGACCAGCCTGTCAAGCTATAACAAGCTGATTCGATTTGAAGACATTAGCGCAGCAGCTTTCAAAATCCAGTGCGGTGTTCAGAAGACACCCTGCATGGTAGGGAATTTTTGTAGATCGACATTCTCTAAATCCTTCCTTTAAATGACCGAGATGACTGATATTTGTATTAGTTGTCATCATCTGTCAATAATAATTTTCTTCTTATCTCTTCACACTAATGTAAATCCTCAAATATAGCAGTGACCTGTTAAAAAAGTATAAATGGCATTAGGCATTGGCTTAATGCACTGCAATATTATGAACCTAGAATGTGCAAACACGCGCAGCATGGGTGGTGAGAGGGCCTTGGAGGAAGGAGGGAGCACACCCAGGTGGCTGTGTCACCTCACTTTGCACCTCGTGTCACCAAGCCCACATAGCACGCGCACACAGCTCTACACAGAGCGTTCATGCTTTGCTTGTATTGTGTGGAGAGGCTATCCCAGGAAGAGAACATGAGCGTTTCTGTTGCAGCTAATGAGCTGGGGACTGTGAGTACTGCACTTTGGCAGTTGACAACCCTGGTCATACTTGTCAGTTCAGTTAAGTGCTGCTTTTTAAAGGTAGGTCAGTGGGCAAGGAGAGAGAGAGAGGCCTGACTTGATTTGCACAGCAGACCTAGCCAGCTTGGGGCCACATGCATGTCTGCCAAGGACCTGTACTTGTGGGCACCTTGGCCAGCTGGGTCACTGTAGAACCTCGCTCGCACCCTCTGCTCACATGGATGAGGCCAGCAACTCAAAATTAGCAGCACCTGCATCTCAAATCAACCCCAAGAGCCATTTGCTTGGCCACAAAGTTTTGCTGCTACTCTTAAAACTGAAACGACCGCCATACCCTAATGCGAGGAAAGGTGAGACTGCATCTGGGAGTCCATCGTCTGCTCCTGCAGATATCCACATAATGGGAAATTTTTCATAAAGTGGTCATGCTCTTTCCAAGCAGTTTAATTCTTTTTGGCCAATTCTCACCATTGGTTCTTAGGCAGCATTGCCCCTTAACTTAAGTAACTCATTTTTCTTGGGTATCCCTGACAGATTAATGCTGCACAGTTATGTGCCCTTTCTGCTTTCACTGTGCCAAGCTAAATAGGCTAACTTTCTTTAGCCTTGTTTATGAAATAAGATCTTAGAACGATTATACTAGTGGAAAACCTATCTCCCTATTTGCCTTGGTGTGTAAATAACCTGTGACAGTTGCTATCCATAATAATATTCATGCAGAAGTTATTAGTATACATTCCATGCATAAATTCAAAAGGAAAATATTTAAAGCACAATGCTGTGTCCAAGAAAACACAAGTAACTTTTATTTTACTTCCTCATCAATGAGAAGACTTCCTTCCATATATACATATATATTTGGCTAAGAAAACAAGCAGAGCTAAAAAAGCACTCAACTAATTGAATGAGTTTATGCAGCCTGCAGTTTCATTCCTAATCTTCAAGTAAACCCAAGGGTGAAGCACCCCACTGGAGGGGAGCATGCCTGAAGCTGAGACATGGCACCATGAATGATAGTAAGACATCTGGTAAAGGTTGTGGCTATGGGGGGGGAAAAAAAATGAGGATTTTAGCATTAAATCTGACAGTTGCTTTGGCTGCCAATGTAGGGGCTTCAGATGTTGTTTTGTGGATTTATGGATGCCACGTGGAGGCTGCATTGGGGTGTGTTGTATGTTAGACACAGAATCTCTAGTTGCTAGACAAGATCAAGATGACAAAAGGGGAAAGCTACTGAGAAGGAGGTTCACTGAGTCTTACAAGGTCACACATGAGGTTAGTGCAGCCGAAGTAGCACGGATACCTTCTCTCTTTTTATTGTTAGGGGTAATTGCTATATTTAGGTCCGATGAAAAAAACAACTCAGTTAAAGGAATGATTTGAAGCAGGGAAGGATAACCTACAGAATTTAATTACTGAGTGTCAAAATTCAAAATAGAAACATCTGAAGTACACCATTTCTGTGTTACAGAGTGAATTAATGAGGTATATTTTAAATGCAGGAGCCTTAGCAATTTTTACAAAGTCACAAGATAGTCTCCTTAGAGCAATTTTGTCATTGTTTGCTGTAGAATCTAAGATGCTCTACAAAAGCAAATATGGTAAAACTAATGTGAAGAACCAGGGAAGAAGTATCATTTTTTTCCAGTGATTTTGTCCTATTTTGCTTAGGTGTTCTTCACAGTTTAGGCTGATATCCTACTAGTTTACTCAGAACTTTGCACTCTTTCAGTTCTGCAGCCAGATATGCACAGTGAGTGAAAAAAATCTATGCTCTTACATTTGCAGGATTTTCAGAAACAACATAAAGAATCTGGCCCCACCTATAGGTGAGGAAGTTAATAAATGTAAATCCTGGAAAGCCTGGAAGCATTCATTTGAATATTTAATTATAGATTTGAATTTTACAAATATTTGAATGTTTAGTTTAATTGAAGCAGGTACCCGTTTCAGGTATGTTTAGTTTGCAGAAATCTGTAACGCTTTTAAAGTCCCACTTTACTAGGACTGGTAAACATATAAAACTATCCAGTTATTATAACTCTTTATATGTACACTTGTACATATAGACACTTGCATGCCTTTTGAGACAGATATTTAAAAGATCTTGCCAGGGTGTCCTTTAATCTATCTGTTTCTGTGACTTGTCACAAAACAAGGTCTTGATTCCCTAAATCCACAAGTCTTCACTCCCATTTGCAGCTGATTGAAGTTGGGTACCAATTCTATAGAGTTGCTGGATCTGTACTTAATAAGAAATGTTGTTTAAAAAAAAATAAAACAAAATTTAAAAAGAACACAAAATAGCAACAGATAAGATTGTATTATATTATTGTGTAATAATATTTTTCCTTTTTAATTTTTCCACTTCCACTTTTTCCATCTCTGTAATAATACTTCTATACTCCAGTATTCTAGGCTGTCCAAGCAGTATGCAGTGGACATCTACCTAAAGAAAGAGTTCCTCCAGTACACGGGATCTGTGAAGGAACGAGGTGTGCTCCATCTTCTGACATCCCTGCCCCAGGTATGACAAAATGTCCATGCTCAAAAAGACTCAATAGATCACTCTGCTTTGCAAAATTTGAGCAGAAGCAAAACTAGTCTTAACTGTAATATCTGTAGACTGCCTGTGTTTCTCTACTTTTGAACCACTGTGCTGTTGAAGCACATTGTGCTTAACCTATTTTGCATCTATTGCATAGATAAGTCTACAAATGCCTGAATGTAAAATGTTTTACTTCTTTATTTACACTTGAGAAATCTACTGGATTTTTTTGGTAATGTGCTAAAAAATATTTGAAAGAAGAGTTTGCAAAATGTAAGCTTCAGCATTTTTCTTTAACGTTTGGATAAAGGTGTTTTTATCTGTATTATTGTTCTGGCATGTTGAAGTCATGACGAAATCAAGTCACAGTAATTAATCTAGACCACTGATGGATTATGTAATGAATTTTAATACCATTACATGACTCATTTATCATCTGTTGTAGGAGTTTATTGAGTTTCTGTAATAGTAATAACTATAATTGGCATGATAGCTTCTGAACTTCAGTTAGTTTAGTTGGTTATTCTTGCACTCTTGCAGTAATAGGGATAATGAATAAGAATTTCTTCTGTTACAAGAAAACTTGAAATGAAATTATTTCCTAAAGGCAGGGAAGAAGGACCAGATAAGGTTTCTTTTGGAGTTTAGATGGAGTTTTGCAGCTAATTCCAACAGAACAAGAATTGAACCTAGAGAAGTAAAGGAAAATAGAATGAAATTATCCTATGCTAGCTTTGTGTGTAGGTCCTAAGATCACCCAGGCATGCATATACTGTATCATAATACCACTGTATGATCAGGCAGTACAGAGGGAAAAAAAGGCTAAAAGTCTTGTAGGAGGAGGTCAGAACACTAGACTGATCCATGATCATATGGGACACTACATAATGTGACACTACATAATGTGCAGTAAGTAAACCTGTTTTGTAGGATCAGCAAAGAAAGGGGGTGATCGTGGCTTCGGACAGTAACTTCTCCATGGCTGTTGCTTACCATGCCTCAGAGCTCCATATTCCAGTGTTTGTCATCATGCCAACCAGCACTTCCCCTGCCAGAGTGAAAACGTGCCGTGACTACGGCGCCATGGTCATCTCCTATGGCACCACCACCAAGGATTCCCAGCTGCATGCGAGGAGGCTGGCACAGGAGAACAGCTATCTCTACCTCGAAGAGTAAGTGGGAAGCTAGATTGATTACAGCGATTACGTAAGCACATAGCTCTGCAGAGACAGTTATTTCCCTGAGTTCTCATAAATTTAAGATTTGATCCAAGGTCATCAAAAGGTTTCTCTTACCTGGCACATGGACAGTTGTATGTTTTCAGGTACAAATCATGAATCCCCATGGAGATCAAAATGAAACATCCTCCCCCAAATTAGACAAATGGGCATAGTGTGGGCTGGTATTACACTGTGTGCTGTATTACTTTTTTTTATGAAACTCTATCAGCATGCATTGAGATCAGCATTCTTTTTTGTTCTCTCTCTTTGGAGCAAGGTCATTAAAAGCCAACCTTTAATGCAGAGGGTTCAGTGACACAGTGTAAAGCAAGGAATGATTCATGCTGTGGAGATTTCCGCCTATCTGCTATGTCTGACAAAACTGGGATACTAGCTTGAAAGAAGGTGATTAAGGGGAGACTTCACTTATGTTTAAAGTAGATTATAAATTTAAGTTTGTGCACTACCTGAGGTCATTGAATAAGCCGGATCTAATAGAAAGATTATTAGAACAGGAAAAGACAGGTAGAAATATTTAGAATTGTGCTACTTCCCTCCTTTCCTTTTCTTCCTACAGTCTTTTCTGTCTTTTTCCTCCCTTTTCTATTTTTCTTGCCCTTTTCCAAGTAAAACCATCAGAAGGGTGGAGGGGGTGAATCATTAGCATGACATAAGCAGCAGCTATGTTCATGCACAACAGCAGCTGCTGTGCTGGCCCGTTCAGCTCCTTCCCCACCGCCTCCGCTGCCGTGGGGCTGATCGGCCCCTTGGTGTTTGCCTGTTCCTGCTCGCCTCTTGGGCACTGCTTACAATAAACTCAGTGATACTGATAATTAAGGTAATATTCCTTAGAAAGAGCATCACAGAATGAGTAAAGTGGGAAAGTCCTTAGTTCTTTCCTTGTTGGTTTTTTACATATCCACTTTGTTTTGGTCAAATGATACTAGAAACTCTGCATTTCAATGACAGGGCCAGCTGTGTCACCAGCTAGTGCTGGACTGGGCTATTTGGTACACCTCGGTTGTCACCAAGGGCAGAATCTGGTCTCACACTAAGACTTTCAAAGAAATCCAAGGGAATTAATGCCCTAGATCCCACTGAATTTTAAATACATTGAGACTTCTAGACAGCTTTCTGTAATCTTTTGATGTCAAAATTGCTGTTAGCCATTTTGTCAATAGGTGTGTTAACTGCTAGCTGTGTTTGACCACACATCACACTTAGGCATTAGAACTAAATTGCCTTATTGTCATTACAAGTTTAATTCTGCTCCCCAAATAATTCTTTATTTTACAGAGGGTAGATTTTCTACGTTCATAAAATTCCAGGGACTATGCAAGAAAAGGGCTTCAATATCTAGATCCAAACAATTCTAGAAGTATACATTGCAGTTAATAAGAGCTCAGCATTCAGCTTTACTGTATCCAAAAAAAAAAAAAAAAAAAAAAAGGATATTCAGTCTATTGCTATGTTTAATTAAATCCTAAGACTTCGAACACAGTTTTTCACATTCGAGGCAGGGAAGACCAATATCATGTTTATGAATCTTTTCATAACAAGTTGCATGAAACATGAGTACTCAGTATAGACTGAGAGAGCTTTCTCAGTGAGAGATGTTTATATGATATGGCCAGTCTTCTTGCAGGTGTGTGCACCACACCTTGATCTGATTTGACTAGCTGATCTCCTGTGCTTTAGAAGAGAACTTCTGAAAGGAAATTTTGTTTTGTTTTATTTTGTTTATTGTACTTTATTTCCAATCGTGTCCTGTCCTTTTTCTACCTTGCCTAAAATCCTCAGTGATTTGTTCCTTAGCAGACGGAAAAACCACAGTAATGTTTTTCCAAATATCAAATGCATTCCCAGGCAATAAATCTGCACTATTAAGGGGCTGACTTTGTATTAATTACTCACTGGATAGAAGAAGAGGCAAAAAAAGAAAAAGGTAAGAAGTGAATGGTCAAAACAGTGGAAAGATTCAACCCCAGTCCTGTTGCAAGCTAGTACAGATGAAACCACAGAGCTGACGCTTATTTATTAATCACACTGGTGGCAACGTTGCTCAAAAGGGGTGGCTTTACAGGACCTCTGGATTTCCTTAACCACCAATTGATTCTTTCTTTTCCAAAGTAAACACTACACGAGTGACTTCTACTTTACCTGTAGCGTGTCATGTCCCGCAGTTGGGTGTGTCAGCCTCAGTTCTTCATATTTCCTGATTGCAATTAAATGCTGAGTTAGGAAAAGCAGGAGGCAAGTGTTCAGTTCTGGGAGGGAAACTTTTTATCCAGTTGCAACTGGGACTGGAAGTTCCAGGAAGGAAATTCAATTTTTTAAACTGGAATTCAACCATGACATCTACATAATCACTGCTCACGTAACATGGGGTCAGAACTTCATTATATATTTAATTGGAAGATTGGCCCATAAAGTGACACAGTACCTCTGGGGGAATGTGAGAGAATGACGGGGTTGTGAATCAGAGAGGGAAGAGTGTCACAGATTGAATTGCTCACCTTCCTTCCTTGAGTGTCCTCTTTTACCTTGTGTAAATCCACATCCAAATACTGAGCAGACCTCTCCCTTATTCATGTGTGATCTAGCTAGTCTGTTACTCTAGGAAGCCCAGCTGGTTCCCTAAACTGGGAGGACAAAACCTAAAAAAAAAATGTCACATCAAACTTTAATTGGGAGACTGAGGCCTCGAGAATGGCCCTCAATTGCTGGTTTGGAAGGCAAACAGCGAGATTCCTAGCTGTGACTCAAAAATGCTAATTTAAATATACTGATTTAATTTCTCCTTTTTCCTGCTTTCTTCTTCCTTTATTCCTTACATATTTTTATGGCATATGATAGTGAAAGGGAGATGTATAAAAAAATAACTTATTTTTATTACAAAAAGCTGAAGGCTACTCTGTGAACTGCTGTTTTAGTTAAATGTTAGCAGGAAAAATGTGGTTGTCTAGAACAGTCATTCAAATTGCTTCAGAAGACCAGTGATCCATCCTGTCATGTATAAAAAAAGAGAAGAAACCTCCCTTGGTAGCTTCATGAAGATGCTTGAATTCAAGGGTTCCGTTAGCCATTCCACTGTGATTTCTTGCCTTAGTCTTTACTTCCGTTAAGGGGTAGAATTTCATTCCCCTCATCCTTTCCTGTGTGGTCACACTGGCTTTTGCCCAGAGGCATTTGCTGGATATTTGAAGTGATTTCTCAAGAGGGCCTTAGTCTCCACCTCAAAGGCAATCTGGGCCCCTTGCTGAGACTCTCTGTGCAGGTCTAACAGGATTAGAACAGCACAACTTCTTAGTTCTAGATTGCACTGGGTAAAGCAAAACAAATGAAATCCCTGGAGCTGTAATTCTGTTTGGTTATCCATCTGCCAGGAAAAGCAGAATGTACAGGCACCAGCAGTCTCATATTTTTCATTCATATATCATTTTTACATAATATTTACATTTTTGCTAACTTTTAACTAAAATCCAAAACAGCTTTTAGAAATAGATGTAAATTAATAATGTAATTTACTATAAAGACTTTTCTCTAGTCTTTTTTTTTTACTCTGTTTGCCTCTATTCTGCTTATTAAACTGCAAAAGTGTTTTACCAGTAAGTATTTTGGCAGAATAAATGCTGTTCTTATCCTTCCGTGAGGTCTTCCAAAGTAATGTGAAGGTATCAGATGTTGGCCCTGGACTGTGGAAAGACTTAACTCTGCACTAGTCTGTTTGGTATCTAAGAAGGTGAACACAAGGCTTAAATTTCATGAAAAATCATTTTTATTAGGAACAATAAATTCCACTTGTAAATAAAGAGAGAAGGTCTTTCCAGTCTTTGCTTTTGGTTCTTCACTACAACATTGAAAGTTCATGAAACTTAAGGAGGTACTGGCAATGAGAGAAGGACTTTTGTCCTCATCAGATCTGTATTTACCTGATAGGAGTAACAGCAAGGATATATGTGCTCTTCAGCCTGCTGGCTGTTTAAGTCAGGCTGGAGTCAGGCGAGTTCTCCTTGATTGCTAATTACCACTTTAATCCCAGCCTTCTCTCCTGCACGAAAACTCACTGTCCTGTTGAGCCCAGATGAGTGCTAATTCAGCTATCTTGAAATGCTTGCTGACGTGGTTGCAACCGAAGGATTTGTGCCTCTGTTTTTCAGAAGGTTTTTTCCTCTGACATGATTTCATTTTGCAAATTGGTTACACACTATTTTGAAAAAAAAATCAGAATCAAAGCCTGTCATAGTCTGTTTGATGGCAGGGACCCATTGCATTGCCTCCTGGCCCAATCGTGCTACTGATGTACTCTCATGTGTAGCTTTTCTGCTGAATCATATCTTTGAAGTAACAGATGGAAGTGTTATGTTGCTGAGCCATGTGAACTCTGCTGAGCTGCGTCTCTCCTTCCTGCAGAGAGGACAGTGCTGCCTACCTGTCCGGCCTGGGCACGGTGGGGCTGGAGATGTACGAGCAGGTGCCCAAGCTGGACGCGGTGGTTTTCCCTGCAGGAGGGCACTGCGGCCTGCTGGCAGGGTCGGCTGCTGCACTCAAGCATCTCAACCCACATATCTCGGTGATTGTAAGTTCCCCTTCGCCTTTGATCTGTCCTATTTTGACAGGTTTCACTCCCTACCAGTGGGATTTCCAAAAGGCCCTAGTCTCTGCTGAGACACGGGGAGAGTCTCTATGTGCCCTGTTCAGGAGCCCTCTATGCCCATGGTGTCTGCCCAGGAGAAGGGTATCTGAGACGTTGGAAAGTCTGCCAACTCTTGGCTGGATTTAAAATATATACATATATACACACACACGCGTGTATATATATATATGTATATATATCGGAATGCTCTTCCAAAATAGATCAAATCCAGTTCTATGTTTTGGATTCATTTCTTACTTGGACAACTTTGGCCCTGAAAACTTCACAAGATAAGTTTAGCGACAGCATAATTATTTTGGGAAAAAGCTCTTAAAAATTTTATTACTATTTTGTATTGTTGCCATGGCTGACAATCTGTCATTGCTTCCCTTGCTTAGGGGGTTGAATCTGAAAGCTTCCCTGTGCTACAACAATCCTTGAAGGCTGGCCACCCAATTGAAGAGCAGGCTTGCAGCAACCACCACTTTTATGGAGGTAATGGAATGGATTATTCTCCTAGAGGTAAAATATAAATTGTAATTGTTTCCCCAACTCGATTGAATTACATTTGAGTTAATTCAGTTCTAACATATTTGAATGAGATCTAACCTTGAAGAATCAGAGTTTCACTCATACTACTCTAAGAGCAACTTCTGACCTGTTACCTCAACACTATTCCCCACCAGTACTACAGGGCACATGGCAAATTCTTTCTGGGAGATCTTTGCTCCTCTATTACCAAACTCATTTTTGCCACACAAAAATCAAATAACTTTATATCATATGATAGCGGTGCTACACTTGTTTTATTTTATGCTATTAAGGTCACAAAAAAAGTCAGAACTCTTAAAAAAAAAAATGCTGAAGATGTCTAGATCAGCCAGCTTCTTACTGTTGTATTTTGCAATCTGCAGATGTGAGTGGACATGGCTTTGGCAGCAATTCTTTGCAGCTCACCGGGAAACTCGTAGACAAGGTTGTTGCAGTGAGGTAGGTGAAGAGAAGCATTGTGATGAATGACATGGTGTGAGCGTGGCAGGGTGTGAAGAATGGGCTGTGGCAGCATACGGTCCTGTAATTTAATTGGAAAAATGGTTCTGTTTAAAAAAAATAAAATAAAAAGGCAAATATACTGCCCTGTCTTTCAGTTAATAGAATGCCTGAGATGCACATCCACCCCCAGCAGCGCAAATTTGTATACCATGAAGTGATTACGTAACCAGGAGGATAGTAAAAATTCCTTAATAAAATCTTCAATAAATAGAAGGATTGTTTTGGGCTTTTGGAGCTGTTTTTTTTGTTTGTTTGTTTGTTTTGACACAATTATTTTGCCTTTAGAGAGGAAGACATCCTCATTTCAATGCTGAGATTGCTGGAGTATGAGCGAGCCACAGTCGATGCAGAAGGGGCCATTGGACTTGCAGCTTTAATTGCTGGGAAGCTCCCAGAGCTGAAGGGAAAAAGGTAAGGCAGCTACTGCAAGCCCAGAACTTAGCAGGAGCTGGCCAAAAGCATGGGCCTGAGTGTGCTTTTTCCTTGGAAAGAGAGGTGAGAGAGGGCACTTGTTTTAAGGGAATGGCAGTTCTTGCCCTGAGCCAGCAATGAGCTCATCAGTGTCACTTATCGTAGACAGTGCACAGCTCAGAAAAACACACAGATCAAGGCAAACGGCAGCCCAGAGAGCAGGCAAACACGATCCTTTGCTCGTGTTCTCAAACGACTAGAGGGAAAGCCCATTGCACCCAGGCACAAGGCCTGGTCCCTGCCGGGCAGTCAGCAAGCAGAGCGTACTGCCATATCAGTCCGTTGCTTCCTCTTGTTCCCCACGTAGGAATCACCCCTGGTGTCTGTGGGACCTTGCCCTCCGTGTAAGGGAGCGAGGCGGGAGAGCAAGCCGAGAGGCCAGGTCTGCATCTGCAGTCCCTCAGTGACACCTGCCTCTCAGCTTGGAGAACTCCAGCCTGGGTAAGGGATGGGATTACCCTTGGCCTCGAAGTTGAACGCGTGCTAAGTGCCTTCTTACGTCTGGGTGTGAGTGCTCAGTGCTTAAGCAGATTGAGCCTTGGCTCAGGAGAAACCCAGAGAGTATTCAAACATGGATAGACTCAAACAACAACAACAGAATTCAAGGAACAACATAGCACACTAAAATACTAAATGAAGCAGTTTTTTCAGAACAGGCTGATAAAGTGCAGCCAGGGCAGCAACTTCAATTCAGTAACTCAGTACAGCTAAAATAAATGGGAAACTCTGCAGGATTAGGTTCAAAGGAGGTCGGATTTGGTTCTGTAGAGGATGGTATCATTTTAAAAACATTAACAATGTACAATGCAAAAAACAATTCAGACAATCTAATGCATCCACCTTTCAGGGTCCCACTTCACTCCTGCAGTAAATACTGAGAGCCAGGGAGCTGCTCTGAGATGTAATACACATTCACCAAAGAGCAATCCCAGAAGCTGTTGTCTGTGACTTGACGATTCCTTTGTACAAATCTTGACTAATCAAAAATCCTATTTTCTTTCTCCTTTCAGAGTGGCAGTTGCCATATGCAGTGGAAACTTGGAATTACATTTGCTGCAAGAGTGCATAGCTCGTGCACTGACCCTTGATAACAGAGTGTGCAGGTTTTCCCTTGTGCTTTCTGACTGCCCAGGAGACATTGCAAAGTTACTGGAGCTTCTGGCTCGGGAGGAAGCAAGGTAAGTCAGACACAAGCAGTAGGGATATATGTGTAGTGAGGATATATAGAGAGAAAGTAGCACAGAGGGTGTTAAAGACTTGGACATTTTTCTCAATGTCATATGAAGGAAAGTAACTCCATGGAAGGTAACTTCTTTTTTTCTTTTTCTTTTTTTTTCTTGCATTTTTGTAATTGATATTTCAAGAAACCTTTTTTCCCTAACTTTTTATATCAATGTGCAAACATCTTTGCATCTTTGAGGAAGTATCTAATATGGAAACCAGAAGAAGTGGTTACGGACCAAACACTGAAATTATTTTTCAGTGATAAAGCTTGTTGTGACCTCTAATTTTTCCTTTATTTCATCTAGAGTGTTGGATCTCAAACAAGAACGCTTGTTTGTGACAACTGAACTCTTCACTGTTGAGGTAAGATAAAATGCAGTTTCAGTTCCTTTAGCAGTACTGATTTCCCTGCATTTCTTCTGTTTTCCTGTATTGCTATGTGTGGAATTTTGATGGAGTCCAACAGTGAATATAGTTCACAGAGGGCTTAGTGATTTTGAAAGTAGCATGATAATCAGCCGTCTCTTCTGCGTTACACATAATCCTGCCTCACCACTTAATAGGCATATAAATATTACCTGTTCTACCTGCTATTGCAACAGAGTCAGTGAAATACTCCAGCTGTTGACACTGCAAACCATCATGTGAATAATTTTGTGCAGGAAGTGATGAGCAAGCTTCAGCATCCATTCAGAACTGGACGAGTGAGCTGTGTAGGCTGCCTCTAATTATCCAAGATCAAATTGCCTTAAACCCATGTGGTAATATCCTTGCTCTAAAGGTATCCTCATTTTTAACTAGGGCCTCAGTTTTGTACCTTGTCCATAAACAGCACAGAGCAAAGTTGTCATTCTGATGCTGAGTGTTTGATACAACAGCAGTGAAGAAGTGTTACCAGCTAATGTCACCTCTTAAAGGATCATTTATTTCTTAGTATATCTCTTATTTCAACTGGTTTTGCAAAGGTGTGGTTTCCCTGATTTCATGCTACTATTGTCCAAACCTAATCCAACAGAGTTTGTGAAATCGCAGGTGGGTAGCGTTACGAAAGGGTCAGACTTGGGATCTTCAGTAAACTGACTCACAACTGGAATTCTTACAGCAAGACAAGTGAATAAGAAAGGATCATGCTACTGATCCATGTTCCTGTTCAAATATGAAGTAAAATCACTAAATTCCATAGCTGCAGGAGCTCCAGATTGACTCATGTTTTACAAATGAATTTTCCTGGATGCAAGAACCTGCTCAGCATTTTTGTTTGCAGAAATAAAGAACAGATTAGATTAAAGATTACTGTAGCCAAGGACTGCAGTGAGGTTCATGAACATCTTTCCAAGCTGCTGGTTAATAGTTCTTTGAAGTGTCTCGGACTAAGTTTACACCATTCTCAGTGTGCCGTGAGGAACGTGCCAGCATACTCGTTTAGTTGCTTGAAGGTAACATGACAATGAAATCCCTTGACAAATGCTTCAGATTCATAAACAACTAATTTACCTCTAATAAACCTTTTTTTTTTTTTTTTTTTGCCTGAAAGATGGGTCCTACAAGCCCCGTAACTCTTCTAGAGAGTTCTCAGTATAATTTTTATGAAATAAGGCTTGTAATCTTTATTCATGTTACTAAGTAAATTAAACTAAATCTACTCTTGTTCTTTTGATTGACAATATTAGAATATTTTTTCATTGCTATTGCAACCTTTGCAGTTGGATAATTTGATCAAAATCTGTAGCAAATAGTCTCTGAATTTAAAAATGTGTCATATACTTCTACCTACATTTTAAATGAACACAGTTTGTTTTCACTGACTAAACACTTCAGGAATCTGACACCACATTGCACTACGACAGGGTTAAAGGGAGGAATTTGTGTCTCTGAATTATTAAATTGGCTGTTGGACTAGCATGATGGCTTTTAACCAGTCTGTAAGGCACTACTGGATAACCAGATGTGAGCTACAAAGTAGCGATCTGGATTTATAGACCTCAGTGACTTTGCAGGTGCTTATATCCAGGTAGTGAATCATAAAACTTTTGCTTGAAAACTAGAACAACAGTAGTCAAAAGAGACAACATATCAAATTTATCTTTAAGCATTAAAATGAATTTGCTCAAAACCAAGATATAAAAACATGCATGTTTTCATAGTAAATTTAATTCATATGTGTAGGATGCTTGATTTTTTTTTCTTGTTGCAAAGCTGTTTAAGCACATACTCACATATAAGCAGACCTGCAGAGAACTTTAAATCATTTTACTCAGTGTAAATCACAGTACATCAAGTTAAGCATGCATATAAATCTGGATCAAGAAGCGGAGTTATTGTGTCTGCTGTATAGCTCTATTGATCTAGTGGTAGCCATAGCAAAGATACTACAGCTGTACCTGCTCCACTCTAACGTTATTACATGCTTTGACTGTGGATATAGGTTACGTGTTGAACAGAAGAGTGTAGTACACACAGTGGCTTATTTCAAATAGTAAATGAGTCCTGTCAAGATTGTCATCTTGGGATTTAATCAGGCTTTAATTGGGATTTAATCATCCCTATAGATTTACCCTTTCATTTCAAAGTGGCTGCTATTCCCTGCCCTTCAGGGAAACAGAGACTCCTTCCTCTCTGGTGAAATGCCTGTTCATCCAGGCTGTGCTTGGAGTGCTCTGTGGAAAGATCCTTGCTGATAGCCTGATTTTCAGCAGTAGTGATGACTTTCTAAAAGAATGCTTTGTGTTCAAATTACTCTTTTGAAAAGATCACTTTTGGAATATTTCACTAGTGAAAATAGTTTTAAGAAGCAAGGGAAACAAATCTTTATTTCCTTGAATGGTTTATGGCTGCATTAGATTCAGCAGATGTTGAATCTAAGTGGTTTGTGCAGTGTGATCAGCTTGTCCCATTTCTGGGAAAAATATGAGAGTTTCTTTCACATATTTCCTGTTCATACCTCTAGATTCTCTTTCCTTATGGCTCATACTGGATTTCTGTCCTGCAGAGGACTGTGACTTCACTCTGGAAGGAACAGCAGCTTAGGAGACATCTGTCTTACCTCCACATGAGCAGTTACGAAATGGGCAGATAAGGAATTGGGCTTGGAGCACCTTGGAAGAGACCAATGGTCCAAACAGCCCCATTGTGTTCCTTCTCCCTCCCACTGTGCAACCAAGTATTAATTCCTAGGCCAATTGCAGCTTGCTTTGTGTGTGGAATTTCCTGGCCCACCTTGTGCCACGTCATCCCTACTTCCACGTAGCATCTGCTCCCCTTGGGCCAGGAGTCTTTAAATTGTTCTGGTGTGTTCTGGTCAACCTGAGCGAACCCTTGGGGCCAACATGCATTTTGAGAAGACCCGAGGAGATTATCTAGTTGCCAGCATATTCCATGTTACTGAGGAACACGCAGCTCTCTGGCCACACGAGGGATGCAGTCACTTCAAAAGCATTTCCTGCATGACCTTGGGCAAGCCGCTGCTTCCCTGCTCCAGCTTCCCCTCTGTAAACTGGAGACATTTGGAGCGTGAGCGCAAATAATTCTTTCTTTCTTCTTCTTTTTTTTTCCTCTGAGAGAGGAAATGAATTCAATACTCCACAAGTACTTTTCTGCAATAGCATCCCATACCAGACCAGCATGGAATACTACACCTCAAATAAGAAAGTGTCTGGAGAGGCCGTGATTTGGCCTGTTTGATTTTGATCTTAATTGTGCAATGCTGTGATAGCACTCTTGTGCCCCTGCTCACCGACAGGGATACGAGGGCTTGCCAAGAGATAAGGGCTGCGTTGCACAACGAAGCAGCAGCCGTGGTGGCTCTGAGCTCCCGCGCGAGCGGCGGTGGCACCAACCCCGTGGCCTTTGGGCAGCCGGTCCCTGCGCCGCGGCCGCCCGGGCTGCGCTCGCACCCTCTCTCGTGTGCATTAACCTGCAGTGTGTGCTTGCTGAGAACTGGGAAAAACACTGTGTTGGATCTTCTTAATAGGAAGCCTTGCCTCATTTTTGGAATTGAAACTGATGTATAAACAAAGATGGACTCTCATGTAAATATATAATATAGTATATTTAAATTAAAAAAGCCAAGTTGTCTTTTCTAACTCCATCGATGTGCCTGTAAACAAACCTATATTTTTGTATCACAAATATTCAGTTTTTTTAATCCCTGCAGATCAACAGTTTAGAAAAGGAGTACGAATATGGTATCTAGGATTAAAGAAGTGGGATGCAAACGTTCGGTGAATTAGACAGGAATAAATGGGGCATAAGGAATAGCACTATTCCTTGTTAGTATCCATCTTTACCCAGAGCATGGATGAGCACAGAAGACTGTAAATCTTTTGACTGAACAGAGCCACTTCACTCTGTTCTCTAGCACTGAATTTTCAGGTTCACCTGATGGTTTTTCTGCACAGGCAGCCCACAACAAGGCAGTAGGCAACAGGGAGCTGAGAAACACACAGATTGGATTTTGACTATCTAGAGAAGTATGATTTAAAAGGCAAAATGCCCAAATGAGAGACTTTCAGATAAAAAGGAGCTGAGCTGTCCATTCTGTTAGCCAAATGACGCAGCACAGAACATATTAAATCTCCCTTATTTGTGCAGATACCAACTTTCCTCTCTTTGAAATGGAACTAATTAATGCCTATGAATAATTTAATTTAGACATATCCAGATTATGTTCGTGTTGCACAGAGTAATTGCTTTCATTTAATCTTTTCCATAATCATTTTCTTTTAGTCTTTGTCCTTCTCCTTTAATTATTTCTAGTTATCTTTTCCAGTTATTAAATAGAATCCATGAGACAAATATTCAGCAAAGACACTTTTGTCTTCCATTATTTGTAGGCCTGCTATAAAAAACAGGCTAGCTAACCACCAAGGCTAGATTCAGTGTTTGGATTATTTGCCACAATAAAAGATCCATCTGGCTGATTATTGTAACAGTGCTATCGAGGCGTATCATTTTTATTTTGTTTTTTTTTCACTCCAGCAAGGATAAGATCTAGAAGCAAAGAAGTGCATAGAAATATACTGTTCATTGACACATGGCAAAGACAGACCTGTAGTGCAAGCAGGGTCCTGAAGCTGGTGAGAGCCCTGTTCAATCAGAAGGCCTGTGTCTAGTGCTAGTATTGAGGGCTTATGATTGTGAACGAAATCTAAAGCTGTACTTGCCCACTTGCATTCTCTCTGGGTTCGCATGTCCTCAGTTACTTAAGAATGTTTCTTACATCAGGCAGTAAGTTTTGCCACTGCCTCCTAAATAAGGCCAACTTGGAGGACTTGCTCTTAGCTGGTCAGCGGGTATGTAACCTCCTGGGAAGAACCTGTTGTCACCTGCCTGAGAATATGGGGATTCTCCTGACGACACCCAGGTAAATCATATTTCCTGGATGAAGTGAAGAAGAAGGAGGAAGCCTATGAAGAGATACAAAGCTACAGTGGAAATTGTCTTCATCTGAGCAGGAAAGCAAATTCCCACACTTGCTTTACCTGACTTTTGGATCTGTGCAGCTATTACAAAATGCAGGCTTGTTATCTCTTTGCTCCACTTGTGAGTAAACTCTCTCTCTCACATTACCAAGCCAATGTAAAAGATCAGGTCGATTTTAAGAGTTGTTTGCTGTTGTTGCCATTTCATTTAGGCTACACTACAACACACTGAGGGCCAGTATTGCATTTGTGTCAGACATTCCTCATGCACAGAACAAAAAGACAGGGTTCGTCCAAAATGCTTACGCGCTCTCTGACTTCAATCAGCAGCAGAAGGAAAAGGGCAGCGAGGAGGACAGTTCCCTCCGTCAGTCAAAATTCCTTCCTGTGCTTGCTCCCAGGGCAGGGCAACCCGCTGCCAAATATTCAAAGCTGAACCTAGCAAGTTCAAACTAGTCCCAAGTGCAACAACTGATTTGCTCAGGACAAAACAGATGTGATTGCTGCAGAGGGGAGGAAAAAGTGTTTTGTGGGTGTTTTTTTAGTTGCAAACTCTGTGAAAGATGAGTATGTACTCGTAAAAAAAATGGCTGAAATGCTTTGAGGATTTGGTGCGAACTGGAGACAGGGTCATGGGTGCTTTGGTGCCTTTAGATACCTTTCCCTGTCATGGTGTTCCCCCCTCTTCCCTCAGTATTAACTCCTCCTTCTATGACTGTCTCTTTCTCGTGACAAAGTCCAGCTTTTTCAGCGGAGAAAGAAATTGGCATCTAATGTGTTCCAGAGATTGTAAAAGGAATAGAACAGTGTTGTGAATAAGACACAAAGTTACAAAAACAGACCAGAAATGTAGCTTATTTCATGATGAATATTTAAGAAGTTTTATTTAATTAGAATGAGCTCATAGTTTTTTTAGAATAACTTGGAGTTGGTATTTCATCCTCTCATTCAATAGTTTGGTTAAAGGTTTGTTGTCGTTTAAAGCCCATTCCAGGAAACATGAATTCACAAAATTCTGATTTAGGAATGTGCTCATAAACAAAATTGAGGTAAGGCTCTATTTTTTATTTCTGCCTTGTTTTCCTTAGGGGATACAGTTCTGATAAGAGCATTATATGTAACATCTGTTTCTAGCAATCCACCTTAAAGTTATCAAGACTAGTTTTTCCTCTCTGTTCTCTGTAGATATGTTGTTGCAATAAATTCCCTGCTGATGCACCCTGACTCATCCTGGATCGCTTCCTCCCTAGATTTCCATGCTTTTGTGAGGCTTTTTTTCCACGTGGCGCTTTCAACATCAGTGATAGTTCCAGCAGGAGCAGAGAGGGCACAAGTGGCCTAAATTTTTGAACTATAATTTCCATTGTGCACTGTGCACTGGTGCCTCACCTTTGGCAGACTTTGACTATATTTATTTCACATCAAAAAGGAGCCCAGATTTTAGAATGATGCAATAAAGATGTGAGTATATAGAAAAGATATATCAAAGAAGAATTGAAAAAAATTGCATTGATGTTATCAGTCTTCTGATACGTAAAGGCTAAAAAAGAAAACTGTCCAGTTCAGGTTTGCCTAGGTTTAATCTGGTTTAGCGACAACTCTAACAGAGCAGTAGAACTGATGCAATAAGCAAACACAAGTAAAAGAAACAAACCAAAAGAAAACAGGTGAAAGTTGTGTAAGTGCTTGAAGCCAGCCAGAATACTGCAGGGATAATGCAGCAGTGTGGAACAGGTCCATGGGTGAGGAATTTAGAAAGAAGGACAAGAGGATGGAGATGCTGGCACACAGGCTGCCCAGGAGCAGGGAAATCTGGTGAGGCAGGTGTCTAAGTTGGGTGCAAGAGCAGCAGCGAAGGGCACATTTCCCCAGGAACAGAAAAGAGAAGCTGCCAACGGGTCACTTCAGGGGTCTGTTAGGGACAGCAGGAAGCTCTTTCCCAGGAGCCCGGAGAGCATCAGCCCTGGAGCTGGAGCCCTGGGGCATCTCCTCCGAGCTTGGAAGGCCCTGGCGTGGGGCTGTTGCAAGGCCTGCAGCTCTCATGGAAGGGCTGGAGAGCCCCAGGCTTCCTGTGCCAGCAGTCTTACCTGTGGAGACAGGGAGCGCAAGGTCCAGTGTTTTTATGCTGCCTGGTCATTTTGCTTTTAAGACTGTATTTTAGGATTTAGTTGGAAATACCTTTGTCTGAGAAGGCTGCCATGTCTTGAAGAGCGTTCCTAATTCTTTTCCCAGGTCACCTGCACTGTAGAGACTAGAGACAAACTCCACACGGCTCAGCTGAGGACGGCGCTCCTGGAACGCTACCCGGCAGCCAAGTGGGCTGAACGGTGATGGCAAAGCCCCGAGGAAAGCGCCGAGGCGCCTCGACGAGCGTCGCACAGAGCACTAACCTGGAGGCACTCGGAACAAACGTCTTCTTCCAAAACCAAAAAGTTAGCAAATAGTTTCAGGGTATTTATTTCCTGTCCAAAATGTAGCGAGTGTCCTTGGGAATAAAGTTAAACTCCAAACTTTAGCTTAGCAAAGCAAAATTTTATAGTCTCTGCTGGAGCTGGAGTTCAGCAACGCATCATCAGCTGCTATTTGGATTGTGACTAGTGTGTAGAATCTAACAGCGTTCAAACAAATAGGGACAAGTTATTTTTCTTTATATCTGAATATACACCTCTCAAAGGTCTTTTGATTTTGATGGTCTGCGTTCAGGCAATTAATGCAGCTTCTTCTGATGGATTTTGCCATATTATTAGTATAATGGTTTTAAATTCCCAAGCCAGAAGCAGCTTTTCATTTGCTGAATTTGCTTCGGGGCACAAGGGCTGTCCGTGTGTGTGTGAGTGAGTAAACGCACACATTTCTGTTTGCATACGATCTTTAATCTCATGAGGAAAAATATTAATAAAAAAGACAACATAAAAAAAAAGCACTTGGAAATTAAAGCCAACACTGCATTGTTTTTCCAAGGGAAAACTGATCCTATTTATAAAAGATGATTCTAAAAGATGTTGCATCTATAAAAATCATATTCTGAATATAATTAGATCACATATGCAGAACACGAATGCAATTCTTGCCCCTACTTTCACACACTCAGTATAACAAGCAACATATCAAATGGCTATATTCCTTTATAAAAAGGGATGTGATTTCTGTGGTCATCTTAGTCTGTCTAAAACAGATTATATTCATCTCACCGGACAGATTAAGTGCAATGTTAAGAGTGAAACACATTGAAAGACCACATGTTAATAAGCAAAGACAGCTCCTGAAGAAGAGGAAGCCTGAGTCTTAGGCAAGTGGCTAATGCCATTAAGAAGGAACACTTTGACCTGAATACCGTTTCCATCGCTAGAGACAGAGACCTACTAATAAGGTAATGGAGTGGGGTGGCAAGAGATGGAAGAGAGACTCTGGCCCACTTCTAAGCGTACATAGCTCTGACAGCTTTCCAGCTGGGCAAAATTCAACTTATGAGCCACTGCAGGTAAAGCCAGTATAAACCATTGCACTTAAGCAGGATTGCCCCAAATTTTGGTTTAAGTGTTTTAATAAGAGGTCCTAATCCTGTCTCTAGAATATCAGGTTGATAACTGAACACATAAAATACGTGTGTATTTAACAGCGCCCTAACAAGGCCCAGTTCTAAAGCCTATAAAGTCAGAGGAAGTGTTTCCTCAGGCTGTGTGAGAACAAATCATTTGAGGTCCCACATGCAGAGCTGGGTGAGCTACTGTTCAGTGTCTACAAAATTGAACTTTTGTTATAGCTTTTGGTGAGAAAGATGCTGCAAGGCCATAATGGTTCTCTGTTGCTTTCATATTAAATAAAGGGAGCTGCCATTTTTGGTTCCCCTCAGTAGTTAGGAGTATCCATGCTAATATGTTTCTTCTTGTGGTTTCACAGTGTAAGATTTCTTTCTCTAGAGCACACTCCAAAAATCACAGGTGGAAGAGCAGAGGCTCTTAAGGAGGGGAGAGAGGTACAATTTTCTTGGCCCCCTTGTGATTTTAGTCCAGTTGTAGGCTAGAAAAAGCATCATTTGAAGCGTTACAACAAACCTAATGAGAGGATCCTGGCAGTCTACGAGTGAGCTGCACATCTTTAAGTGTATCTTAACTATATGCTATCTGCTATATAGAGAGATATAGATATATAAAAACAGGTTCTTTGTTCCTTCTTAGGGTGGCTTATGAAGGAGCTGGAGAGGAGAAGAGGCTCTCACAAATCAGGGAAATGACAGAAATTCACAGGTTTGGTACCTTTGTGAAAGGACTGTGTTATCTGCACATTAAACTTGCAATTTTTGATGTCCCAGAGGTTAGAGTCCCTCCTTTTTTGATGGCCAGAATGATCACCAGGGCTTGGGATCAAAATATTTCCTACCAATACCATCCTGTCAGGTGCAACTCTTTTTTTTCATCATCAGGAGAGTTTAAAAAATGTATATAGAAATATATGATTAAAGAAAACATGATGTGTAACTGTTACTTCCACTGAAGCAGTGACCAACCACTTCACCAAAGGGCAGAATTTGGGAAATAAATACACAAGCAAGAGCCTAATTACCATCTTTGTTGCCCAAACTCTTGGGGAATTCAGAGGTTGTTGCAGGTATCCAGGTGAGAAGAAAATCAGGTTTTATAGCCCCGGTTCTCACTAGTGGCCAATGGCTTCTCTGTCTGAATGTTTTATTTACCATTCTGCATTATTCTGGACTCCATTTGTGCACACACTTACACTATTAACAAAAACTTCATTTCTAATTAGCAGGAACTGCATTTAGCTGCTCTTTATAAAACCAGAGCAAAAGGGGCAGCAGATAAAACAATCAAAAATAAAGGCCAAAATAGAAACAAACAAAAAAATAAATCACTGCCTGGGTTTGAAAATTTGTTTTAAAACAAAATGGAAAGAAATCTCAATGTTATTTAATGTGTCACACATGATGTGCAGTTTGGTTACATCTTGTTGTATTAGATGTAAACATAAATGGTAGAACATTTTTCATAAGTGCCCTGTATGTTAATACACTGATAACAGAGTTAATTTCAATTCTATATTGCTTTTACATAAGTCCATTGGCTTTTAAAGCTAACATGGAAAAACTTCCAAGAGAAGAAAGATTCCAAATGTTTAAATGAATGTGTGGAATGAATATGGAAATACCTGTACTACCAACATTTTTGTGTCATGAAATTTAACAGGACTATAGTAGTTCAAAGGTTTAGTCATGTATTGTAAAATGTCTTATTTAAATAAGTATTTTTGTATAGATGTTCTTATGTACTCTGAAAAAAATGTAACTCTGATAATTTTATAACACAAATCTTTAAGCTGTGAAATCAGGAAAAAAAAATCATATCTGAGAGTTGTATTTACTTTCCCAGAAAAAATAATTAAAGTAACACTATGGCACCTCAGCAGTGGAAGATTTGTCATCCTGTCATATGGTACTGGAAGCATTAAAATTCAAAGTTAGGGTTTTTTTTCCTTTCTTTGTCACCGATCCTGATGGGGAGTCCCTGCCTTGGTGCAAGCCTGGCTGTGGGCTGCCGCTGGGCCAGGTGGACACCTCGTCTTTGTGCCCGGCGTCCAACTCTAAGCACTCGGCCCTGGACAGGACAGTGAGCTTTACACTTTGTTTATATTACATATTTTGTTTTTATACGCTCCCAACTTTGCACCACATCCCACCGGAGCAGGAGTTTTGCTGAATTTCTTGACTGCCTGGAATAATGAATTTTGAATTGGTCAAGGGCACAAGATATATTGTAAGTAAGACTGCAGCAAAAGTAAGTGTGCTTGGAAAAAAAATCTAACATGCATATCTTAAACTAATTAATTATTGAGCACACATGGCAGGGTCCCTGAACCCCTGTATCCTCTCTCTTTGGGGAAAGGGGGAGCAGAGGAGGCCTTTATGAAGCGGAGTGAGACCAAATGCAGCTGAGTGCATTGACAGGGGGACGTGAGGGGCCTGCCCAGGCTGCTGATGCTGGGCAGCTGAGGGGGCTCAGCTGGGCTGCTGGTGCTTGGAAGCTCCTCTAAGCAGGTACTTGGCTTTGTTTCTTTTCCCATGGGTGAGTTTTTAAATTTCCAAGTTTCTGAAATGTGCTTGCTTTTGTAACAAGCTCTCTGGGTTTTAGCTTGCCTGGTCTTGAAGCCAGGTAAACAGGTTTGTGCTTTAAAGAGACACCTGTTTTGTCTCGGAGAGAAGAGTGTGGCAGAAATCCTGTGGTGAATGGCAGGACTCCCTCCCTGTGCTCCTCTGCCCGTCCTGTTTGCCATAGTGCCTGTGCTGCAGCGGTGCGTGGTGTTGCGGGGGCTCCGTAAGGGCTGTGTGTCAGGGCAGCCAGGGTGCAGCTTGTGCCCTGGAGGGCAATAGCAGAGCCGTCTCTGGCTTCCTGTCCCTCAACAATGTGTGGCAGACCCTGGAGCTGTTGGTGCCGGGGGTGCGCGCGGCGCCCCGTATGAGGAAACCCTCTGCTGACCGGGGGAGCTGACTGCGTAGGCCGCTGACCATAAGGTGAAGGCTCTTGTGAAGCTCTCAAATGAGCCAAGTCATTAGAACCTTGCAGAAAGCCTCTATTTTATATGTGGAGATCATGGGTGGGGGAATAAAAATGCGCAGGCTTGTATTTGAGAAGCAAAAAAGACGAGTTCTTTTCTTTTCTTTAAATGCATAGACTTGTATATATTTAAATGAGAGGGATGACATAATTAATGAGTGCTCATGTACAACAGTGCTGTAACTAAAAATAAGAGCAGATACAACGGCACATTTGATTAAAGATGAGAGTAAGTGTAGAAGGAATACGTAACTTAAACTTTCTCATTTGTGGAAATATTACCATGTTAGTTGTCTTACTGTTATTTCTTACTATTTACCTGAATGCCCTAAAGTCAGTGAGCCAATAACTCTCTCCAGCGCCCCGTTCCTCCAGAACTTTCCATAGTCCTGCACTTTGTGCTACCCCTGCAAATGCTCGGATGTTCCCAAAGGCTGGTGCAGCTGGTTCCTGATGAGTTTAGAGAAGTCTAGGTCAGAACTGCAGAGCTGCAAACTGAGACAACACATCATGATGCTGAGGGTTTTTTCCGTTATTCTCTTTGGAGGGGGGAACAAAAGAAAGAAAAAAAACACCATGAGCTACAGCCCTGAAGGCTCTAAACCCGCTCTTGGGGACACACAGGAGGTATCACATCACTCGTGTCCAGGACCAGCAGGGCCTCTGCACTGCCCTCCCGTCCCCAGCCTGGGCTCTGCTTCCTGCCCTGCCTCTCAGCTGCAGAGTTGGGTTTGGCCATGGTTCTTACCAAGCCCGTTTGTACAGAGCTCATTCGCGTTATCTGCGGAAGGGCTTTGCCCGCCCTTCCATGTGCTCTTGCACGGTGTGGTTTGATAGTGAAAATGATCCTTTGGATGTGAGGGAGAGAATGTTTGGCTGCAGTTCAAAGAATTCCTCTACGCAGTTAAGTGTAATACTCCACTGTTGCTATTAGGATAGCCCACAGAAACACTTCCCCCAGTGTAATTAGATCTGCTTCCAAAGAGCCTTTTACTGACCATGAGAGTCTTTTTATGGACTTAATGAGCTTGTGAGCTGGATCCATGCTTCTGTGGCTTGCAGCTTGTTGTGAATTTGTAGTGTTTTGGTGGTTGGTTTGTTTATAAGTTCTGGTATGCTCATCCTGCTCGTGTGTTAAGGACACTGCAGAAATTCAGAAATGGCATCTCACTGCCATCAATCTACTAATGATTTGGGACCTTGTCACTGCATGTGCTTTTGCCTCCCCCGGTCTCCAAGGCTCCTCGGCATTTTGGAAGTGAGCTAGTATCGCTTATCCTGCGCTGCACTGCGTGCGAGTCAGGGCTCTCCTGAGCTTTGTAAATACCAAAGCGTGGGCATCGCTGCTGCTCATAGCTTGGGGACAGAGGCTGGGATTAGATACTTGCAAAATGTAATTACAGCTGGAAAAAGTGACTGGCTGCCAAGCACGCGCAGCGAGGGTAGCTGCTTGTGGGCAGATGGGAGCAGGTAGCTGCGCCTCTTGCAGCCAGGGAGGCTGTGCCCAGCTCCAGACGAAGCACAGAGAGGACAGGGTGGCTTGAAGTCAAGAAACCGGCAGAGAGGCTGCCAAAACACTTGCCTGGGCCACTGTCCTCCTCAAACTTGTTTTTTAGGTTAGAAGTGTTTGATTACTTATTTTTGATTAAATTCACTAGAGCTCCTCTTGATATGCATGACATTATGCCCCTATATATTTTGGCACAAAGGAAAATTCTGAGGGTTGTGTATGTTTTGCAATGAAACAATGAGATATTGAGATAACTACTGTGTAGAAATACTAGGCTTCTATGGGACTTGTTTTGGAAAGTGCAAAGACAGTTGATCAAAGTCTGGGTACTCGGTTTGTAAAGAAAAGTGATCAGGAAAAGTATTTTGTACAGACACTTGTATCAAAGGTAAGTAAAGGGGGGGAAAAATTTTTTTTTTTTTTTTTTGAACCTTTATTCTTCAAGGATCAACAGGATAAAGTTACACAATAAAACACAGCCCAGGCTCTTGACACAGCTGTGGATTTCTAGCCACTAAACCTGGCTTTCCATTTCTCTAGATGATGTTAATTTTACCAGACGACCATTTTTAAAATAAACCCAGATCCTTCAGTTCCCCACGCTTCTAATACTTCTTTTTTTTTGCTTCTCAGTTGGTATCTGTACTCAAAGGAGTCGTCTTCAGCAGCAGCATTATCTGTAGGTGCTCCACAAGATGCATCTACTTGTTACTTCCTCACTGGGTTTTTTTTGCCAGGGTACAACTCCCTTTTCCTGGCCTCTCTTCCAGAACAGTAGCACCACAAGTGATGAGGTAAAACTCCCCACAGCATAATATTTTAAATAACCATTACTCTTTAAAAGTGCTAAAACAAGATAGGCTGTTTTTCAAATATTTAAAATATAACAGAATAGACTCACTACACACATAGAAGAACATTAAAGGCTACTGAAGATTTCAGTACATCATCTGTCTAGCAGTGGTGCACACTTACTCAATACATCTGCTTTTCATCCATAAATGTTCACCTGTGTTCTGGAATGTTAACTTTTTTTTTTCCCCTTCCCTTGACAAATAAGCTTGTTCATAAAAGCTGCCCTCAGAGTTACAGGATTACTACATTAGGCTATACTAAGTCAAGGATTAAGACCTTCATTCAGAAAAAAAGATGGTCATGCTGCATAAAGCTTAAGGCACATGTATAAACCAAGCTGAAGTGCTTTATGTATCTTGACTCACCCCTGCACCTCAACCTGAGGTGAGACTTGGTCATTTTTAATGTGCCTGCAGCAGTAAAGTAGTCTGACCTGGGAGGGGGGGACAAAAACAGGTTAACGAAGATAAAGCTCTAAGCACAAAAGCATGTGATGTTATTAAAAGTTCCTGTAAAGAAAATGTAGGAAAAGGAAATTCTACCACAAAAATAGCCTTGTGGCTGTAAATAACTTCTGCTGTTATGAAAGAAAATTCTTCCACGCTAAAAAAAGGCAACTTAGCAACCACTACTACCATGTGTTGGGGATTCTCCTCTTCAGTCAGTACCTGAGGAGGTAAGCTAGTTGGAATACAGCAAATGAACGACTTTGGGGTGCTTGCATAATAAACTGCTTTGAAATCTGGCAGCCCCAGACTGAAGGGCTAAACTTCTACTGAACTATCTACAGGGCCCAGTGAAAAATAGCTGTAAGTGCCTCATCTAGCAAGA